ACATGCCTGTAGTTCCAGCTACTAGGGAGGCTGAGGCAGGAGAATCTCTTAAACCCAGAAGGCAGAGGTTACAGTGAGCTGAGATCACGTTACTGCACTCCAGCCTGGGCAATAAAGTGAGACTCTATCTCAAGAAGAAGAAAAAAAAAGACTACAAAGAAAAAAATCCTATGGATATCTAAGCAAGGACAAAAAAAGCTACATTCAAAGAAAAACAGGTCGACATCACACTGTAACAGCTATGCTCTGTGCCAGAAGACAGTGCAATGAGTTACTTCAAATATTCTGGAACATAATTTTTTTTTTAGACGGAGTTTTGCTCTTGTGGCCCAAGCTGGAGTGTAATGGCACAATCTTGGCTCATCGCAACATCCGCCTCCCAGGTTCAAGCGATTCTCCTGCCTCAGCCTCCCGTGTAGCTAGGATTGCAGGTGCCTGCTGCCACGCCCAGCTAATTTTTGGTTTTTTAGTAGAGACAGGGTTTTCCCATATTGGCCAGGCTGGTCTCAAACTCCTGGCCTCAGGTGATCCACCCACCTTGGCCTCCCAAAGTGCTGGGATTACAGGCATGAGCCACTGCACCCGGCCCTGGAACAGAATTTTATCGTCACCGAGCCAGCTTTCAACTATTAAAGTTACAGACAAACTTCTCAAACATAGTGGAACTCAACGAATACTGTTCCTGTAAGCTCTTCCTGAGGAGTTTATTAGAGAAAAATAATTCCAGATGACCCAAAAAACTGGAAATTCCACATCAACATAAAAATGGTAGTGGGCATTAAATATATATTTATCTGTAAAAAACTGAATGATGGCTATGAGTGACACATTATACTACATGATGACTATATGCTCCAACAATGTAAATAAAGCCCAAACTATCCAAAAACTGAAGTATGAAGAGATTAAAAACTAGAAAAATAGGGGCCAGGCGCAGTGGCTCAAGCCTGTAATCCCAGCACTTTGGGAGGCCGAGGCGGGTGGATCACGAGGTCAAGAGATCGAGACCATCCTGGTCAACACGGTGAAACCCCGTCTCTACTAAAAATACAAAAAATTAGCTGGGCATGGTGGCGCGTGACTGTAATCCCAGCTACTCAGGAGGCTGAGGCAGGAGAATTGCCTGAACCCAGGAGGCGGAGGTTGCGGTGAGCCGAGATCAAGCCATTGCACTCCAGCCTGGGTAACAAGAGCGAAACTCCGTCTCAAAAAAAAATAAAAATAAAAAAATAATAAACTAGAAAAATACTGGCTGATTACTTGGTGTTAACTGAAAGTAAAACATATTACTTTAATCAAATGCTTGGGAAGAAAAAGAGGTTACTAGGTAATTTCAATAGTACTCAAAGAGAGAAACCAATAGAAAATCACCAAAAAACGTGGGAGGGGCACTAAGTCTATTACAGAAGCATTTTAATATAAAGGCAACATCTAAAACAAAAATACAAACTTTGTAAATTTTTTTCAATACCCAAAACAATTAGCCAGGCATGCTGGCATTTTCCTGTGGTCCCAGCTACATAGGAGGCTGAGTCAGGAGGACCACTTGAACCTAGGAGGTTGAGGCTGCAGTGAACCGTATTAGCAGCACTGCATTCCAGCCTGGGTGACAGTGAGACCCTGCCCAAAAAAGAAAGGATTATTAAATAAAGGGCAAATAAAGAAATATTATCATGGACACCTTACACCTAACTGAAAAAAATACTTGAAAAATTACAAAATAAACCCCCCCTCCAAAAAAAATCAAAGGGAGATATTAATAAAGAATAGGATTGGATCCTCAAATGGAGAAAAACCACAACAGTGGAAAATCTGACAGCATCTGCTATTTAGTTAACAGTATTATACCAATGTTATAGCCTTAGTTTTGATCACTACAACATGATTATGCAAGTTATTAAATTGGGGGAACCTAGGTGAAGAGTATACAGGAAAACTCTACCATTTTTGCAACTTTCCCAAAGTCTAAAATTACTTCAAAATAAAGGTTTTTTAAAACTTTAAGAAAAAAAGTTTTTTACCACAGGAAAATATTAGCAAACCAACTTGTTATTTTAAGTACTAGCAAGTAAAGAGAGTCCAACATATATCCCATCTTTCCTACAAAAACTGTACCCACACCAGGTAACCACAGTGGCTCACGCCTCTAATCCCAACACTCTGGGAGGCCAAGGCAGGTCGATCACCTGAGGTCAGGAGTTCAAGACCAGCCTGGCCAACATGGTGAAACCCCGTCTCTAGATACAAAAATGAGCTGGGTGTGGTGGCACGCACCTATCATCCCAGCTAGTCAGGAAACTGAGGCAGGATGATAATATCTGCTAATATTAACTCAAAGGAAAACAGACATCATGTGTCTTCTGACAAACCACATTCCCTGGGAAGTAGTCTCACTGTAGTACCCAGCATCAAGGTGACACCCATCTCCAGGTATTCATTAACTTAAGCAGTCCCCTCCAACACTGTATCAAAGTTGGTCTATGTGACCCAAAAAAAGTGACAAGCTGTCACTTCTGAGGTCATAAAGACATTTCAAATTCTCTCTTCCTTTTCTCCCTCTTTTTGATCACTACCTCTGCAGGACCTTTAGGATACTCAGGCAGAAATTGAGACCTCCCACCAATGACCACTGAGTAAGCCACCTCAGAAGCAAATCCTCCAGCCTTTCTTAAACCTTCAGATGACTGCAACCTGTAAGAGTCCTAAAGCTAGAACCACCCAGCTAGGCTACTCCGAGTCCTAACCTTCAGAAACTGTGGAAGATAATAAATGCCTAGGGGTTTGGGGGTTTTGTTTTGTTATTTTCTGAAACAGTCTTGCTGTCACCCAGACTGGAGTGCAGTGATGTGATCTCAGCCAAATGCAACCTCTACCTCCCAGATCAAGAGATCTTCCCTCCTGCCTCAGCCTCTGAAGTAGCTGGGACTACAGGTATGTGCCACTATGTCCTGACAATTTTTGTATTATTTGTATAGATGGGGGTTCGCCACATTGCCCAGGCTCATCTCTAACTCCTGGCTCAAGTGATCCACCCACCTTTGATTCCCAAAGTTCTGGGACTACAGGCATGAGCCACCATGCCTGGCCAATTTTTATTTTTTAGAGACAGAGTTTTGCCTAGGAGTTGCCTATTCACAGGTGCAATCACAGCTCACTGCAGCCTCAAACTTCCAGACTTAAGCAATACTCCCACCTCAGCCTCCTGAGGTACTGGGACCAATAAATGCTGGTTTAAGACATCAAATTTGGAGATAATTTGTTATGCAGCAACAGATAACTAATACACTTGTCGAAAATAAGCAGAAATTGATCAAGACTTAAAAGCTAACTACCGTTTTAAAAATAGAGAGAGAGGCTGGGCAGTGGCTCACGCCTGTAATCCCAGCATTTTGGGAGGCCAAGGTGGGCAGATCATGAGGTCAGGAGATCAAGACCATCCTGGCTAACACAGTGAAACTCTGTCTCTACTAAAATTACAAAACATTAGCCAGGCGTAGTGGCATGCGCATGTAGTACCAACTACTGAGGCAGGAGAATCACTTGAATCTGGGAGACAGAGGTCGCAGTGAGCTGAGATCATGTCACTGCACTCCAGCCTGGACCATAGAGCGAGACTCTGCCTCAAAAAAAAAAAAAAAAATAAATAAGAATGAAAAAAAAAAAAAAAAAAAAAAAAAAGAGAGAGAGAGAGAGGACAGAGGACATACTGAAAAACCACCATAAAGGTACACTCAGCAAAAACTATAGACAGTAAGAAACTGTACAGGAAGCCGAGTATAGTGACTTGTGCCTGTAATCCTGGCTTTAGGAGGCCAAGAAGGAGAATCACTTGAGGTCAGGAGTTCCAGACCAGCCTGAGCAACATAGCAAGAGCCACTTCTCCACATACAAAAAAATTTTAATTTAGCTGGGATGGTGGTATGTACCTTTAATCCCAGCTACTTGGGACGCTGAGGTGGGAGGATCGCTTGAGCCAACAAGTTTGAGGCTACAGTGAGCTATGATCGAAGCACTGCTCTCCAGCCTGGATGACAGAATAAGGCTCTGCCTCAAAAAAAGAAAAAAGAAAAAGAAAGAAAGAAAGGAAAAAAAAAAAAAAAACCCTACAGGACAAAAAATAATTTAACAAATTAGAAGGAAAAAAAGAGATGGAAGAAAAAACCTGTATTAACAGAGACAGGATGCATAAAAACCAAACTGCAATGTCTGCATCTCATTTGAATCTGATTCCAACAAATTAAAAAATGAGAAAAGAGAGCTAGAAAACTGAATAGTGACTGTGTATTTGATGCTACTAAAGAATTAACAGTTATTCCAGATGTAACAATGGTATTATAGTTTGCTTTTTATGAAAGACAGTCCTTATCTTTTATAGATACTTAAGGAAATTATATAATGTCTAGTATTTGCTTCAAAATTGTACGAAGGATCTTGCCTGTAATCCCAGCACTTTGGGAGGCCGACGCAGGAGGGTCACCTGAGGCTAGGAGTTTGATACCAGCCTGAGCAACAACATAGAAAGGCCCCATCTCTACAAAAATTTAAAAATTAGTCAGGCACAGTGACACACACCTGTGGTCCTAACTACTCAGGAGACTGAGGTAGTAGGACCCTTTGAGCCTGAGAAGTCAAGGCTGCAGTGAGTTATGATTCCAACGCTGCACCCCAGCCTGGGCGACAGAGCGAAACCCTGTCTCTAAAAAACAAAAATACATATATACGCTCTCACACACACAACAGAGACAGAGAGACAGAGAGAGAGAGAGAAGAAAGAGGAGAGAGACAGAGTGAGAGAAAGAGGAGAGAGACAGAGAGAGAGAGAACCTTAGTAATGTAAAAGGGATTAACACTTGTTTCCACCCTTTAGAAGTTAATCATGAATGCTAAAAGTCACAAAAAGTAACCTTGGCCATGGCTCACAAAGTACAATTGACTGTAAACGTGACAAGTGACACTCAAGGAATTTAGGGACAGGGAGTTCCCCTTTCTCTTCATCCAAAGATTTTTCTTCTAAAAATGAGTGTTTTCTCCATCTATACAACAGAAGCAAATACATGTAGAAAGCATGATCTACTTTTCTCTGGGGCAGTAGTTCCTACACTCTCATATGGAGATTTTTTAAAAATTAAGATAGAATAGTTCATGTTCAAATAGTTTGCAGTTCCATTTGTAAAAAAACATTAATATGACTTTAAAGGTAAAGTAAATAATCTCACTAACTGAAAATATCTCCCAGGAATTCATTTAAATCCTTCCCTAGATTACCCCAGCCCCAAGCAATCACTTCTTCCTCTGAACTCCAAAAGCAATTATTTGTACAATTTATTTGGCAATTAATCCTTCATTGCCTTGTTAAACCTCTTGCATTATTCTCTGAAATGTTATTTAAATCTTCTCTAGTTATCTAACTTTCATGTTTATTTCTCACCTCCCCAAACAGACTATAAATTCCTTGAGAGAAAGAGATAAGGCCTTATATTGTTTTGTATACACACAGACACACAGAGTAGCTAGCATAGAGTAAATATAAAGATATTTGATTTTAAGAAAAAACAGGAAAAATCAATTACAAAGAAAATGTTTAAAGTGATGCCAACTAAGTATCTCCAAGCCAAAGTTGACAGACAGGCAGCATGGGGTGGGGGTAAAAAGGGCATGGCCTCTGAAATCTGAGAGACCTCAATCTGGATCCTCTATCTGCAGAGCTTTCATAATTAACCCATGAGCTTCAATTTCCTCCTCTCTCAAATGAAGATAATATCTACCTCTAGAAGGTTTCATGACTGTTAAATCAGATTTTATGTAAAACTAGTATCCGGACGCTGCAGATCGCAGTGGACGGTGTAGGCCGCTACAGGCCATCATGAGCCGGCTTCCGGATGAGTACAATCCCTACACGATTGAAGAGCCTAGTGAAGAGGAGCCGGCTTTGAGCAGCTCTGAAGATAAAGTGGATGTGCTTTTACATGGAACTCCTGACCAAAAACGAAAACTCATCAGAGAATGTCTTACTGGAGAAAGTGAATCATCTAGTGAAGATGAATTTGAAAAGGAAATGGAAGCTGAATTAAATTCTACCATGAAAACAATGGAGGTATCCTCTCTGGGAACTGGATCTTCCTCAAGAAATGGAAAAGCTGCAACAGCTCCAGCAAGATACTATGATGATACATATTTTGATTTTGATTCTGAGGATAAAGACAAAGCAGTACCGGTGACCAAGAAAAAAAAGAAGAAACAACACAAGATTCCAACAAATGATGAATTACTATATGATCCTGAAAAAGAAAACACAGATCAGGCCTGGGTTGATGCACAGAGAAGGGGTTACCATGGTTTGGGACGACAGAGGTCACATCAACAACAGACTGTTCCAAATAATGATGCTGTCTTGAATTGTCCTGCCTGCATGACCACACTGTGCCTTGATTGCCAAAGGCATGAATTGTACAAAACTCTATACAGAGTGATGTTCGTGATGAATTGTTATATTAACAAAGAGGAGGTTCTAAGATATAAAGCCTCAGAGAACAGGAAGAAAAGGCAGGGCCATAAGAAGATGAGGTCTAACCAGGAAGATGCTGCCGAGAAGGCAGAGACAGATGTGGAAGAAATCTATCACCCAGTCATGTGCACCGAATGTTCCACCGAAGTGGCAGTCTATGACAAGGGCAAAGTCTTTCATTTTTTCAATGTTTTAGCAAGCCATCCCTAAACAGCATAATTGGCATTTAATTACCCAATACCATATATAAGGCAAATATGGACAGTTACTTTCCTCCTGCTTGTTCCTATCCTTAAGTGACATTGAGGAAGCAGTGTTTTCTCTTTATAAAGGAGAACAGTTGTCAACCTTCATTCATCTCTCACCCTCTCTTTTTTTTCTTTGATTTTCCCCCGTATGGATGGGACTGATATTCTCTTTTTGATGAACATTTGGAAACTATGGGGCTTTTTATTTATTAAAGCTCTTTAGAATTAAAATGTTCTGGAGTCATAAGCAAAAAAAAAAAAAAAAAAAAAAAAAAAAAAAAAAAAAAAAAAAANAAAAAAAAAAAAAAAAACCTAGTATCCCTTAAAGATAAGGGGTTTGTTCATATTTTTACATCTTTAAAATCAGAATATGTCATGCTACTGACAGTATCCCATTATTTATTTGGCAGCTTTACATTTTTTTTTCCCAGAAGTACATAAAATAGGCCGGGTGTGGTTGCTCACACCTGTAATCCCAAAATTTTGGGGGGTCAAGGCAGGCAGATCACTTCGAGGCCAGGAGTTTGAGACCTAGTAGTACATAAAATGATGTGTTCTATAATTAACGGTATCTTAAACTTGATGAAATTTGGTAACAGCTAGCAGCATCCTCAACAATGCTGGCTTCATCTCCTCCTTCCTCCCTCATACCCATTCATAAACTATCATATGGACAGAAAACAAGCTATAAAATGGAAAAACCACCAAATCCATTCAAAGAGCTTAGCACTTTGCTATTCAGTATATGCTCGATAAAAAAAACCTGCTACTGATACTCTAAAGTTGTTCAGCAAATATGTGAGTAGCTACTATGTGCCTGCCACCATTCTGAGCCCTAAGGATACAGAAGTAAACTAAACAGATTAATTCACAGCCCTCAGAGTTTATGTTCTATTAGTACAACTTTTATCTTATTTTTTCCTAGAGACAGGGTCTCGTTCTGTCACCCAGTCTACATACAGTACAATGGTATGAGCATAGCTCACTACAGCCTCAAGTTCCTGAGATCAAGCCATCCTCCTGCCCTTAACTTATCAAGTATCTGGGACTACAGGAAAGTGCCACCACACCTGGCAGCACATAACAAATTCTATGTCTGAAGAAATGAAAAGCCAAAATTCACAACTAAGTCAACAGATTGTCCCAAAGGCTGAAAAAGCTAAACAACCCAAGAAAGATATTAAAACACAGCTTAGGCAAATGAATAAGGAAAACCTTACCCAAAGGAGCATAGTGAAGTCTTGAAAGCAATTCATCCAAGTTTTTGCTTTAAATAAAAGTTTGGGAAAAAGTAAAGCAGCCAGAACAGATGCTGAAACTTAACACGGAAGGAGGAGAATATAACATCTTCTCTAGTTTCTGACAATAAAACATGTATTAGATTCATCTGAAAGAGAAGAATAGTGGCCAGGCGCAGTGGCTCATGCCTGTAATCCCAACACTTTGGGAAGCCAAGGCAGGCAGATCACAAGATAAGGAGTTCGAGACCAGCCTGACCAACATAGTGAAACCCTTGTCTCTACTAAAACTACAAAAATTAGCTAGGTGTGGTTGGCGCATGCCTGTAATCCCAGCTACTCTGGAGGCTGAGGCAGGAGAATGAATCACTTGAACCTGGGAGGCAGAGGTTGCAGTGGGACAAGATCACGCCACTGCACTCCAGCCTGGGCAAGAGAGAGAGAATCCGGCTGAAAAAAAAAAAAAATAGTAATCATCCTGGTTATTTATGAAACACAAACTTCTTTCAGGAGATAATTTTAAAAATTATCTTATATGTCCACAAATCATTTTTCCAAAGCTCTTCCAATTGCAGTTACACATCGGAACATCAGACACTGCTAAATAAAATGTTACAAGCTCAGGTTCACCACTACTCTCTAACCCAAATAAATTAATATTACATATTCTTTGCTTCTAACATGGTACCTAAAAAAAAAAAAATCATACCATGAATTACTACAGCGGTGCAGACCCAAAAGCTTGTGTCAAGTCAACTAAAAGTCATCTAAATGGGACATTTTTAATCATCTTGGGTTTTTCCCCTTCAAAGTTAGGGCTTAAAAACCAAAAACCTATGCTGGCTCATGCCTGTAAATCCAGCACTTTGGGAGGCTGAGGCAGGTGGATCACCTGAGGTCAGGAGTTCAAGAACAGTCTGGCCAATATGGTAAAACCCAGTCTCTACTAAAAATACAAAAATTATGCCAGGCATGGTGACACGCACCTGTAATCCCAGCTACTCAGGAGGCTGAGGCAGGAGAACCACTTGACCCCAGGAGGCACAGGTTGCAGTGAGCCAAGATCACGCCACTTCACTCTAGCCTGGGCGAAATAGCAAAACTCTGTCTCAGCTACTCAGGAGGCTGAGGCAGGAGAACCACTTGACCCCAGGAGGCACAGGTTGCAGTGAGCCAAGATCACGCCACTTCACTCTAGCCTGGGCGAAATAGCAAAACTCTGTCTCAAAAAAAAAAAAAAAAAAAAAGCCTATTAAACCTCTTGGTTTTTATGATGGTCATTTGTTGAACTAACTCATTTGGTAGTTTTACATTTTCTTTCCTAGTAACATATAAAATAGTCCGGGTGCAGTGGCTCACACCTGTAATCCCAACACTTCCCCCCAGTTTATCATAAAAAAAAAAGTTTGAGTTACATTCTATAAACTTTCTATAGAAAACCAGTCGCCAGGCCGGGCGCGGTGGCTCAAGCCTGTAATCCCAGCACTGTGGGAGGCCGAGGCGGGTGGATCACGAGGTCAAGAGATCGAGACCATCCTGGTCAACATGGTGAAACCCCATCTCTACTAAAACTACAAAAAATTAGCTGGGCATGGTGGCGCGTGCCTGTAATCCCAGCGACTCAGGAGGCTGGGGCAGAATTGCCTGAACCCGGGAGGCAGAGGTTGCGGTGAGCCGAGATCGCGCCATTGCACACAAAAAAGGGAAAAAAGAGCAAAACTCCGTCTCAAAAAAAAAAAAAAAAAAGAAAAAAGAAAAACAGTCGCCAGGCTCAGTGGCTCACGCCTGTAACCCCAGCACTTTAGGAGGCCAAAGCAGGTGGATCACCTGAGGTCAGTAGTTCAAGACCAGCCTGGCCAATATGGTGAAACCAGTCTCTACAAAAACACAAAAATTAGCCAGGGATGGTAGTGGGTGCCTGTAATCTCAGCTACTCAGGAGGCTGGGTGGAAGAATCGCTTGAACCTGGGAAGCAGAGGTTGCAGTGAGCCAAGATCCTGAAATTGCACTCCAGCCTGGACAAAAGAGACTGTCTCAAAAAAAAAAAAAAAAGGAATAAAAGAAAAATACTCCATTGCCACATAAGCGATGACCACAGGCAAAAGTAAATTACACTCAATTTACTTCTCAGATGAGTTCTACACAATTCTGCAAGTAAAGAACTTAACTGAAGGCTCTTTCCTTTGCTGCTGCGGCCGCAGCCGTGAACATGCTCAGGCTTCAGAAGAGGCTTGCCTCTAGTGTCCTCCACTGTGGTAAGAAGAAGGTCTGGTTGGACCCGAATGAGACCAATGAAATCGCCAATGCTAACTTGCGTCAGCAGATCCGGAAGCTGATCAAAGATGGACTGATCATCCACAAGCCTGTGACGGTCCATTCCCGGGCTCGCTGCCGGAAAAACACCTTGGCCTGCCGGAAGGGCAGGCACATGGGCATAGGTAAGTGGAAAGGTCCAGCCAATGCCGGAATGCCAGAGAAGGTCACGTGGATGAGGAGAATGAGGATTCTGTGCCGGCTGCTCAGAAGATACCGGGAATCTAAGAAAATTGATCGCCACATGTATCACAGCCTGTGCCTGAAGGTGAAGGGGAATGTGTTCAAAAACAAGCGGATTCTCATGGAACACATCCACAAGCTGAAGGCAGACAAGGCCCGCAAGAAGCTCCTGGCTGACCAGGCTGAGGCCCGCAGGTCTAAGACCAAGGAAGCAAGCGCCGTGAAGAGCGCCTCCAGGCCAAAAAGGAGATCATCCAAAACTTTGTCCAAGGAGGAAGAGACCAAGAAATAAAAGCTCCCCCTTTGTCTGTACATACTGGCCTCCGTGATTACATAGATCAGCCATTAAAATAAAAC